TTCTTGAGAATACTAATTTTTCAGGAAACTCAAATTTTCAGTATTTTAATTTCATGTAAACCAGCATGTATTCTACTTCTGCAGAGGATTTGAGAATATTTTCTGTTAGCATTTGTTTTTCTGGGATGCTCTCAGGAGTACCAGGAATGGAGTTTTCAGTGTGACCTGATTTCTGTAGATTTCATTTGCAGAAACCAAACAACTGTCTCATAGTGCTTAGTTTGTTTTCAAAATGTTTTGATAAGTTGCTTGCACTGTTCATTTTCTTCCACAGCTAAAGGAAATGGCTTCTAACTTAGAGTCCATATTTGTGGATTGACATTATTTTTTTTTGGTAGTATGTGAACTTGTGCCTGATAGTCTATATTGGAGGCCATCCACTAATGATCAGGTTGATTTGTAGGGTTGTTCTTTGTTTGGGGATTTTTTTTTTGGCTTTTTATTTATTTATTTTTAAAATTTCAATGTAAAGCAGTAAAATAAAAATAAACAGTAAACAGATACATTGCAACAATGCTGTTCTTTAATGAGAGTTTGAGTTAGCAGCTATCCCAACTGGATGAATCAGTCTTTGGAATCTTTACTCTAATGACCTCCTTTCTCCTCAGCATCTGAAGTACACTGAATGGGACCACATGCACAGGCACGTGAAAAATAAATGCAAAGTCATTACAGCAGTGAAGATTTATCAGGACATAATCCTTGCATGACCTAATCTCATTCCCAAAAGTCCGAAGTTTTCTTTAGATTCTGGAAAAGTAAAGAAACTGTCTTGAGTTTGGATCTGCCTTGGGGAAGAGTATGGAAATAGGTAGGGTAAATGTTTCAGACCTTTATCAAAAACATGTCGAGCTCCTTTACAGAGGCTGCATGTGCCTTGTGAGTTGCTACCATGAGGACATTACACCCTTCAGAACCACATTTACAGTAACAAGAATTGTGTCTGCAAATTTTATTTGTGTTAGCAATTAAATTGCTGTTTTTTTCTTTATGAATTACAGATACATGATTTTTCAAATGCCTTGAAGAATATAAACTGAACCATTCATCTTTATCCAAATAAATCATAACTTTGCATATTAAGGTAGGGAAGCAATTACTTGAGAACTTCACAGAGGTCTCACTTTAAGAAAATAATTTGGAATGCTGTTGGTGGATACTCTTGTATTGTTTGAAACCTGCTCTGAATGGGTTTAAAAAACTGTAGTATTTTCATAGTGCTTTTAAACCTGAAGAACTTCATCTGTGTAATGCCACACAACTACTGTAATTGTTATCATGGAGGAAGGAATCATATTTCACATACAGGATTCTGCTCTTTGAGGCACATATATTTTCTGGGGGAAAGGAAGTAAATAGCCATGACAAAAAAGCAAGTCTGAACTTTTAAAAATACAATAATTTTCAATGTTTTGCCTGAGTGGATGGGTCCTTCACTGTTTTGTCTGCAGAATCCACATAATGCAAAGAGTGTGAAGGACTGAGTTCAGGGCAGTTTAGATTTGAACTATTCTTCCTCATCTTCAGCTCCGTTAGTAGTGACTTTTACCAAAGTAAAAGTAAGTTACTAGATAAAGCTGTTTCCTTCCCTGAAAAGGTGTAAGAACTAAGGAGGTAATGCTAGGATATTATTCATCATCTGTATTAGGAGAATTAGTTACTCTGTTCCAGTCAATAATACTGTATTTTTCCAATTTTAAGAGTGGGTTTGCTCATCTTGTCTCTCAGAATGTGGCTAGCATGACCTCTTATACTGATGCCGATACCAGAAAAGGCAAAGAAGTGTCCTTGAAAACAGAATGTATCTATCAGCTCTCAGTCTGTAGTGGATTTTAGAAATAGTATAAAGATTACTGTTGCAGTTCTTGAGATTTTAAAGATTACTGTATGTGGAATACAAAGAAAAGGAATTTTTTAACTCCTACAGTTTGAAGAGAAGTAAGCATATAATTCCTTGGTACTGTGATGTGAGAGAAAAAATTTAAAACTGGACAGCTATTTTTGGTTAAAAAACAGAAAAAAAACCAAGAAAATACTTTGAATGTTTCTTATTGGAAGGCATTAATTTTCCTTTTTATCTCTTTATACTAGTGAAAGCTTATTTCACTAGCATTTGCACTTTGAAAGAAATGCCTGGAAATAGTTTTACTGATTACATTCAGCAAATATTTCATTACAGGAGATAGTATTTAATAGAATTGAAGAAATTGATGCTGGCAAGTTTATGAATTCATCAGCTTGCAGAAATGCATGAAAGTAACATCAATTTCCGTCCATTTTCTTAGATAGTTGCGAACCATGGCAATTTTTTTACAAGGACTTGTGAAAAAAAAAAAAGTTCAGGCATGCAAATAGGTTAGTTACCATGGATCAGCTAAAATATAGGAAATTATTGTCTAGAGTATTTTTCTGCATGTCTGAAGCCTTTGAAATGTAATAATGCTGTACACTTTTGCCTGTGTTGTCACCTGTGATTTCAGAATTTCCTTTATCTTTTGAATTCTGTTTTTTTATTTCTTACTTTCAATATCAGTTAATTTCTGCTTTAAAGGAATATTGAGTAAGGATTCTATTCTGTACTGATGTACAGTCTTTTCTAACAAAATATCACATATCTTTAGAACTGAACCTTCCCAGTGCACTTGAACTGTAAAGATGTTGCAGTATAGTAGTTCCTTGTTATGTGCTGGGCATAAAATGTTTGTGTTCAGTGTGTTCTGTAGCTCTTGGTGAATCCATATGAATAGCCATACTGTACGAGATTAATTTCCTGTCTCTTCTAGTAACCAAGAGTGGATACACAGAGCACAATAATATAAAACCAAAGCAGACATATGGTGATACTTCCACAGAGCAAAACCTTTTTAGTTGTGGGGAAACGAATGTAAATATTTGCTGATGTTTAGCAATCAAACTGTGCTTATTGATAAATAACTTCATCTTCAGACTTTTGCAGGAATTTAGTTTGCATTTGTTGTCTTATGGATGTTAAAACAAGCTTTGATACTCCAGATGTTTTAATAGCATTTTAAAGTATCATTTAAAAGTATTTTATACTGGAAAACATATGATGTAAAAGAAATTATTGTTTTTCATGATGGTTTCTTTCTAGAACCCTTTGCATCTCAGCATATTCAGCAAGGACTGAAAATCACAAGAAGGCCATAGAGTGCTTATTGGAAGCTACTACTACTCAACTTGAGCCTCCAATGTTTATTGTGTTAGGAGAAATACAAATGAAAGCCAAGCAAACTGAGGTTAGAAAAGTGTATATATATATGCCAAGCAAGACAATGTTTTTCTTTCTGTATTATTTTAGTATTTTATGAAATGTGCTTGTATATAAATACGACTTCAGAGAATCTAATTGATTAAATTATAAGATCTGAGTAAGAATTTTCAACAACAGCAGCATGCATCAAAAGAGTGGCCAACAGGTCAAAGAAGGTGATCTTGCCCCTTTGCTCTCGTGAGACCTCACTTGGAGTATTGTGTGCAGTTCTGGTGTCCTCAACATAAGACGGACATAGAACTGTTGGACCAAGTCCAGAGGAGGGCCACAAGGGTGATAAGGGGGCTGGAGCACTTCCCATACGAAGACAGGCTGAGCAAGTTGGGGCTGTTCAGCCTGGAAAAGAGAAGGCTGTGTGGAGACCTCATAGCAGCCTTCCAGTATCTGAAGGGGGCCTATAGGGATGCTGGGGAGGGACTCTGAATTAGGGACTGTAGTGATAGGACAAGGGGTAATGGGTTCAAACTTAAACAGGGGAAGTTTAGGTTAGATATAAGGAAGAAATTCTTTACTGTGAGGCTGGTGAAACACTGACACACGTTGCTCAAGGAAGTTGTGAATGCTCCATCCCTGGCAGTTTTCAAGGCCAAGTTGGATGGAGTCTTGAGTGAAATGGTTTAGTGTGAGGTGTCCCTGCCCATGGCAGGGGGGTTGGAACTAGATGATCTTAAGGTTCTTTCCACCCTAACTATTCTATGATTCCATGATTTTATGATTTGAGCTAATCAATTAAAAGGTACAGTTACATAGATTGAGATCCATTATATATCATAATTTTGCTTCTTTTGAAATAAAATAATACAGAAGTATGCCTAGCATTTTTGTCTAATAAAGTGCAGTACAAAAGTTTGATTCTAGTTTGTGATTGTATAGTTACAGGTATTTTCTGAACAAACCTCAGAAATGTTTCTGGTTTTCTAATCAGTTATTAATATGAACCATTCAGAGATCAAGAAAGTGTCAAAGTCCAGCAACATCAAGGAACAATAGATTAATAGTTTTACCATGATGTTCGAAAGAAGGACTAAGAAAAAGCCATTTTCAATAATTCAAAATGTCTAGCAAACCTTGCAGGTTTTCAGTTAAGTGCTTTATAACTACTAATACTCTCTGTTTTGCAGGATGCTGAGATAAGTTTTAAAAAAGCTATGAAGCTCCTGAAGACCTCAGCAAAAAAACTGCCTAATACATTTGAGGCTGCAGAAATGTATTATCGCACAGGTCTGTGCTACATGGAGCAAAAAAGATTATTAAGGGTGGTATTAATTATGTAGACTATATTAGCCTTTAATTCCACTGCTGTCAAAATTGTCAGAAATATCTAATACAGTAATATATGACAACTGCAAAAGGTGACTTTCTGTGTTAATGTACATTTGATATTGCAGCTGTCGATCCTGGAAAAGCCTGTGACTTTGTAAACTAATGTACAACGTAGAGGAAGGAACTATCTGGATGGATTTTAAAGGAGTTGCAATCTAGCCATATTAATCCATCATCCATTCCAAGAAACAACTTCAGTATTTCAGCTCTTACAGACAGAAGACCATGTGATTGGTTAAAAATTTTAAGTCTCACTGCAGAAATGTGATGAATTAAATGAATTAGATTGTGCCTCCATGAAGTTATGATTACATTAGTTGTTAACTAATTGCTAAACATTACAAAATTTTAAATAGCAGTAGATGGATGAAAGTAGTAAGAAACCATGCAGGTAGATGGTGGGTTCCAGCTGCAACAGTAGGTCACACCTAGCTGTGCAAAAGAATCAGTTAGGCTGTGGTTTCAGCTGAACAAACAGACCATATTTAACCCAGGTAATATTTCATCCTTTTAGGCCTGTGATGCTTTTAGTATGGCTATCAGACTACATTCAAGTTACCCTGATGCTTGTTATCCGCGAAGGCTGTGTAGAATGCAGCTTGGACAAGCTAAGTGCATCCAAGACTTCAAACACTTGCTTATTGTCCATCACACTTCCAGGTAATATAAAGATTCATGGTTGTGTGAGGCATTTTGGATGGGCTCAAAGACTGTCATGTTTTGCATTTATGGGTGTATTGTCTTGTAATCTGCTATCAAGCACAAGGCAAATATTAAATAAATTACAACAAGCTTTGTAAGATGTATGGTTTTATAAACTTGTAATTTCTGTCTTCTACTTAACCTTTGTTTTATAATGCTAAGTAAATCTGTTTTTTTAGCATGTCATCATTCTGTCTTCATCTCTACAGGCATATATGAGTTGTGCTGCTTACTATGGAAGTAAAGGTAGATACTCTAAGGCAATTCTGAATTGCAGTGAGGTGATCAAAATTCTTCCTAACAGCATGCAAGCGTATTTTTACCGAGGAACTTTAAAGTGTCAAAATAAGGCGGGACTGTCCTTTATTGTACTTTGAAATTCTCCCTTAAAGCTTGGCACTTTTAAATGATGAAATAATGGTAAAAGTATTGCTGATAGAAACCAGGAATTCCACTTGATAATGACACTTTCCATTCCCCACTGACGCTTCTTTCTGATTGTTCTGTGTAACTGAAAATGCTTGATGGGTTAGAGAAGCTACTGAGCACCTTTCTGGTTATTCTCTTCTTAAATTCCACAGAATAGATTCTTAGACAGAAGTACCAAAACTCCACAAAAGATATGTTTTATGTTAGGTAAAGATAAAATGTAAGCTAGTAAAATTAAAGATTGATTAGATATTGTAGTATATGGATATGATGTGATAAAACCCTAAGAATGTTTGCCTAGACTTTGCACAAACAGAGCTTCTGAAGTGCTCCCACTGTAGTAAGAAATGTGGTAAGTAGTCCATAGATGTCATAGTGAAATGGTTGAATGCCTTCCACTGCTCATGAAGAATCAAAATGTAAACCTATGAAATAAAATTTTACCATAGGCTATTATTTGAGGAAGAATATGTAGTGCTATGAACTCTGTGGCTCAGTGTTTTTTTATTTTCAGCCATTTAAAGCTGCAGTTGAAGACCTTTCAAAAACTATTGACCTCAACAAAATCTGTGTTTTGGCATATTATAACAGAGCTGTCTGTTATCATCAAATAAAGGACTTCAGAGAGGTATGGTATTACTTTTTTATCAACATTACATGAACACTTGGTTGTTCATATTAGCTACTAACCTGTTATTAGCAATTAGTCAGAATTTCTGACCTCTTGCAATGTCTTTCTGAATGGTTGTGCTCTTCAGAAAATTGTTTTTAATAATGGCTTTTTGATCTCTATTATCATACACTTGATATCCTTTTGAAAATAAAATAACTCTATCCAGAAGCAGACTACATCAAAACAGGAATTTGGACCATATACAAGCCTTATTCACAACCCTGTTTTTCTGGATGTATTTTATACTTCTGTCAACTTACCTGTGAGCTATTTCTGAGTGTTTCTGATTTCTACTTTTATTATAAAGTAAGGGCACAATAGGGCACACTAAGGCACTGTGCATCTTCAGACTTGGGAACACAGTGATGCTGACCTGTCTTTTTGATGAGGCCTATTTTCTGAGACAACGCTAGTTCATAAGTATTTCAGCTCGAATGTCTCAAGTCAAATCAACCTTGTGCAAAGGCAATTTGTTCTTCGAGGTTAATTGGCAAAGAATGATGCAGATGGGTAAATAAAATAGGTGATTACAGTAGCTGAAAGCAGAAGTTTAAGGTGTGAAAATATTAGTTCCTTCATAAATAAGGTATTGTAAAAGTTGGTGTCACTCTTAAGAAAAGCCACTTAAAGTTCAAAGAAAGTTGCATAAAAAAGGTAGTACAGAAAAAAATTAGTAAATCTAACAGGAATGGGATTCTTAAAGCTGTTTGTAGTACCTAGCTTAGTTTAGAAGTGACAAAGAAGAGAACTTCTCTTAAGTGGCTAGTATATGGAATACTACAGTCAAGGACATTTTTATCGTATTAGCACTAAACTGTCCAGTTATTTGTAAATATAATATCCAAGTTTATTCTTCAGATGAAAAAAAAAGAAAAAGATTTGTTCTAGAACTTCTTCAGATCAAGCATTGTTAAAATACTCCTAGTTTTGCTAAATTTGAAAACTGAGGCTTCTTCAGTCTACCTGGTCATGTCACTATTTGCTCTTTTACAGAATTTACACTCAAATTGAGTTAATACAAGTAGAGCTTAGATTTTTCAAGCACAATAAATTATATTTGAAGATACTGAATTTTTAAAAAAGGGTTTTACTTTGACATTAATTCATGACTAATCTAGAATAAATTTGGGTTCTTTTTAGTAAGAATATGGACATAAAAATTAGCAGTAGAATTACAATTTATTTATAACTCAATTTATATAACAACAAAATAAGTTTTAATTATGTCTATTTAATATATTTGCATTATCTTTCTGTACTCTAGGAATGGGTATCTGTATGTTTAAAGAAGGCTCAAATTCAGTTAAATTCCACCTGAAAACAGTGAAACAGTGAATACATGCATACATATGTACATATATCTGTACATAAGCACATGATTTGTAGGAATTTGAAAGTGTGTCTTAAATTTTGAAGTATCATTGTATCCCTCTGGATAAATTCTGGTTTAAAATACATTTCATGTTTCTGTAGGATTTGAAAGATTACGGAATTCTTCTTCTCCTTGAATTGAATAGGGAAATAACTTTTAAAGTGTTAATTAATTGTGGACTACTCTACATCAACTTGGTGATTATGCTAATGCGTGAGGTGCAAAATACTGTAAGTAAAGGATGTATAGAGTTTTCTGTAAAATGTAAGCCATTGCTGACATAAAGACCAGCTTGACATTTTTTATATTCTTCTGAAATAGTATGTGCCCAGTTCTCGTTTGTTCCATACCAAATACCAGTCTGGCTGTGAAGATGCAAATAAAATGCAGCTTTACTTCTTTTACAGCCCTATGCTGCTAGAATTAAACATGGTAGTTGCACAAAATTTAAGAACTTAGAACCTGATTCTTCCTTCTTTTTGATCTTGAAGGAATTTATTTTGGGTCCAAATGAGTAGTAATTCATTGCAGAAGCCTAAGTACATTGAGGTTCTGATAGAGTGGGCTCGTTTTCTTTTCCTTTCCTTTGTGTGTGTGCATGTATATGTGTAAAGAATCATTTTTGTTGAAAGATCAGGAAAGGTCTGGCCTCAAGATTATTTCTTAAATGCAAGAAGATAGTATATATTTCTGACAATGACTCACATTGCAGATGGCTCTCATCTGGTATAGCAGTAGGAGGCTTGAAACCCAACAATGTTAAACATTACACTTTCACACATACGGGGCTTTATTTTTGAATTTTAATTAGCTTTTAAGTTTTATAAAAGTGTTATTTAAAAAAAACAGGCTTATTTTCAGTATAACTGGCATATTCATTGCTTCTGTTGTGGACTAGTAAGTTATTTTCTTTATGTGATAGCAAGTATTTCAGCATAGGCATTCAAAAAAATGGGTTATATTTTCTATTTGCAAATAAAAAATGAAGAATGAATATGAATCTTGTTTGAATGACCAAGAAATTTCCCATTGAAAGTGCCCAACAAAAGCTCTTTAGAGTTGGTAGACTTTGCATAGAAATAGAATAATCAGAAATACTGTGTTGCTGGTCTCTTATGCTTCAAGATGCAGTTGATCAGAATAGTTCAGGAAAGTCCTGGGAAACGGGAGAGGTGCCTGAGGACTGGAGGAAGGCAAATGTCACTCCGGTCTTCAAAAAGGGCAAGAAGGAGGACCCGGGTAACTATAGACCGGTCAGCCTCACCTCCATCCCTGGGAAAGTGATGGAACACCTTGTCCTTGGTGCCATCTTAAAGCATATCAAGGATAAGGGGGTTATGAGGGGCAGTCAACATGGCTTCACCAGGGGGAAATCATGTTTGACCAATCTCTTAGCCTTTTATGAGGAAATAACACGGTGGATGGATGATGGCAGAGCGGTGGATGTGGTCTACCTTGACTTCAGCAAAGCATTTGACACAGTCTCCCACAGCATCCTCACGGCTAAATTGAGGAAGTGTGGACTGGATGACCAGGTAGTGAGGTAGACTGCGAACTGGCTGAAGGAGAGAAGCCAGAGAGTTGTAGTCTATGGGGCTGAGTCTAGTTGGAGGCCTGTAACTAGTGGAGTGCCTCAAGGGTCAGTACTGGGACCGGTATTATTTAATATATTCATTAATGATTTAGATGAGGGAATTGAGTGTACTATCAGCAAGTTTGCTGATGACACTAAGCTGGGAGGAGTGGCTGACACGCCAGAAGGCTGTGCTGCCATCCAGCGAGACCTGGACAGGCTGGAGAGTTGGGCAGGGAATAACGGGATGAAATATAACAAGGGAAAGTGTAGAGTCCTGCATCTGGGCAGGAACAACCCCAGGTTCCAGTATAGGTTGGGGAACGACCTGCTAGAGAGCAGTGTAGGGGAGAGGGACCTGGGGGTCCTAGTGGACGACAGGATGACCATGAGCCAACACTGTGCCCTTGTGGCTAAGAAGGCCAATGGCATCCTGGGGTGTATTAGAAGGGCGGTGGTTAGTAGGTCGAGAGAGGTCCTCCTTCCCCTCTACTCTGCCCTGGTGAGACCCCATCTGGAATATTGTGTCCAGTTCTGGGCCCCTCAGTTCAAGAAGGACAGGGAGCTGCTGGAGAGAGTCCAGCGCAGGGCAACCAAGATGATTAAGGGAGTGGAGCATCTCCCTTATGAGGAAAGACTGAGGGAGCTGGGTCTTTATAGTTTAGAGAAGAGGAGACTGAGGGGTGACCTTATAAGTGTCTATAAATATATAAAGGGGGAGTGTCACGAGGATGGAGCCAGGCTCTACTCAGTGGCAAACAATGATAGGACAAGGGGTAATGGGTGCAAACTGGAACACAAGAGGTTCCACTTAAACTTGAGAAGGAACTTCTTCTCAGTGAGGGTGACGGAACACTGGAACAGGCTGCCCAGGGAGGTTGTGGAGTCTCCTTCCCTGGAGACATTCAAAGCCCGCCTGGACACATTCCTGTGTAACGTTATCTAGGTGTTCCTGCTCTGGCAGGGGGATTGGACTAGATGATCTTGTGAGGTCCCTTCCAATCTCCAGCATACTGTGATACTGTGATACTGTGGAAGAGGCTGAGTTGTTAAAAACTGATATGTAAGGCCAGTAGAAAGAAACTGGGGCAGGACCAGCAGGATGAGCAAGAAGTTCTTTGAATAGATTGTGGTGAAAATAAGTTTACAGAATAGTAATTGAAAAACAGAGAAATACAGCACCTAATTTAATAAAAACATCAGTGATGTGCTTGAGAGCTTCTTATGTATCTATTCTGATAATATTTTATTGCAAGGAGTATATCTGTATACATGTACAGTGCTGGCTGAATGATGATATAATAAGCACACATACATACTACTTATTATGAGTGTATTCCTGAACTGTATACACTGGAAAAAAAGGAAAAGTTACAATGCAGTCTATGTAAAATCTGTATTGCTATATAGAGGCATCTTTTCCTCTTAATTCTGTGAAGTGTGACTATCTGTAAGGAGAGAACCTTTGGTTTAAGTAAAGCAAACCCGGTCCTTAGAACTTTGATCCTGTTTTTGCACGGCTCCATGCGCAGAGTGTGTACTCCAAATTGTGCACATGAAGAATTCCATTAGCTTTGCTGGGTATCCTTTGAAAGGCTTCGCTAAATGGCACATTGTGTCTCAGTATTTTTTTTAAAACAGAGCTATAATTTTATGATAGCATCTTCACTAAACAGGGTTTCTATTTTTAAAAATATAAATATATATATATGCACATCATTATTTTGCTACTTTTGTAATTCTAACACTACTAAAATATGCCACATTTCTTTTTACAATTTGAACAGGTGAAAAATACTTTCTGAGTTGTAGTAGAGAAGTTGCATCAGCTAGAAGTTGCATCAGCTAAACCACTCCTATTACATACTTTTGTCTTTCCTACACAGAAGCCTGAAGCACTTCCTTACATAGTAATTGAAATGATATTTGATTTTAAAAGCACTTGTGCAGTTTTTAAAATTGAACCACATATATCAAAACCAAAGCATTTTGAAATACCTTCTGGATTTAAGTAAAAGGCAAATGTCAAGGGCCATATGAAGTCTTTCACTGGAACATTGTAGCTAGAGTCTCCCAATGCAAATATGAGTTTGGTTTACTGCATTTGTCAAAGTAATACTGGAAAGTAACTAGACAATTTTATTACTTGAAGAATTCCATCAAAATTGCATATAGCAAAATATATTTTCAATATATGCATATTTAATAATAGCAGCTGAGGTACAGTATTTCTATTAAAAATAAACAAAAATACCTTTCTGGAAGGTTTTGTTTCTGGAAATGATGCCTGCAGTTTTGTAGGGAATACCATGATACCAAGTAACTTTAGACATTTTATTCTATCAGTGTGGGACAAGAAGTATGAAAACAGTTAAATACATCTGCAGTATTTCTGAACGTATAATTTCTTTGTCAGAAGTCATCTCCCTTTTTATATAGAAGTATAAAACTTATAAAGCTGTTCAGCTAAAACCACATTTGTAGGTGAAATGAAGCAATATCAAATTGCATGGTTTAATGTCTGTTCTTTTCAGGACTTTAAAGGAGCAACTTTGCTTGGTCCAGATGACAGCCAGATCTTTCAAGCTCTTGGAATCTGCTATCATAGGTAAGATATGTAGTTTTGTTTAATGGATAGTAGAAAAATGAAACAATCCCTGAGCTTTATATTCCTTTTCACCTTTTCATATCAAGTACACTGAGAACTTGGAGAGGGAAAAATGGTAAATAGGAATAGAAAAAAAGAAAATGTCCTTTTATTTTTGGGGTTTAAAAAACAGGCATTAAAATTTTCTGGTATCAAGCAACTATGTGCTTATGACAGTGTCAGGAGGAAATACTAGGATGATAAAATAAAACCAAGAGAAGGACTGAAGAACTAGAACTCCAAGATAAACTAAGTTGAATTGGTTTGTTCAGAATTAGTTAGAATGCAATTTCTATTTAAATATGATTTTTTTTTCCACTAAAGAAAAGCCAAAACCTCAATGGTAGTCCTTGCCTGAATTTTTTATTTGGAAATTGTAAAATGTAGTCTCATCAAGATGAATCCATTTATTTAGAAAGACTAAATTAATTCTGTTAATCACTTAAAATTTATATAAATTGGAAGAAATAAGATATGCATTAATATCTTAGTCTATTTATCGTAGTGGCACTTGGAGTTAATAGCTCCTATTTCATACAAGTATCACCTATGATAAAAAGTAAATCTTAATAGCTATATAATATTAGTCTAATCTATTTTGTTCTGCAGTTACTCAGCCTTCTACCATTGCTTAACCTTGTTGCTGCTGAGGCAGTGTGGAGGTGGACATATTCAGGACTGCAGCATTAAAACTTCCTGTGTACTATGTAGTTAAGGCATAACCAGTTCTGTCTTTCACAGTGTCCAGATGATGTAGAACTTGCACAGGAATGGTGAATCCTGATTCTAAGAACTGAAGATATGATTTTTTTGTGCCCATGTCTTTACTCATCTGTCAAAGGAGTCACTCGTAACTCTATAGCTCACCTGTGTAACTCATTTTAAGATGCCTTTGGAATCTATCCTGCGGTCTTTAACAATATGACTACCTATCAACAGGGTTGGAATGAAGCCCTAATTTGTATTTGCAACAAGTGTGCTTTTAAAAACCTTCAGGTAGCTTATATTCAAACACTATCAGTATCAACTTGGTAAAACGATTTTTGTACTTTGACATGTTAAAGTTTATGCTTTGTATGAAGATACTTACTAACGTTCATTGACTCTTCAGGTATTTAATCTTTTTTAGACCTACTCAGTATACCTCAGTTGCATATTTAAGGATGGAGTTCCACATTTGTCTTACTCTTAGAGTAGAATGGTCTATGCTCAGAACTTTGAATATTATCTCTTTTTACTCCGTATATTTAGCATGGTTTGGATATGTTAATGAATTGGTGTGTGAAAAAGCAGAGAGAAGGCTTGTATTAGAAGTAAATTATTTATGGTTGAAACATCTATGCCTGAAGAGACTAGCAAAAACAATGTTTGGTAATGACATTTGGACAGCATGAATGATTCGGGTAAAGTATCTCTGAGTACAACTGTTGAGAAGATGAAATCTTGGCCTACTTTTGCTGTTTTCTTCCTCAGGCCAAGGAATTCAAACTGCAAGGTCTTACACTGATAACTTTCACTGTTATAGCTATTAGTGAGCTCATACAGAATGTAAATTTAAGGAAAAGATATCCTTTTCAGTCAGAATTAAACTACTTTTGAGTGGCGTGGTACTTGCTGATCATGCATAAATTGAGAATTTTATTTACAAATTTTTTTTTAAACAGCAAACATCAATGTCTCTATTTTTAGTCTTCATGAGTTTGAAGAAGCTGTGACATCATTTGACCAGGTTCTCAAATTAGATCCTGTTTTTGTGGATGCCTATGTTGGAAGAGGAAGTTCGTACATGGAAAAAGGGGATGAGACTGGTTGTAAACAAGCACAGAAAGATTTCTTGAGAGCAGTTCACCTGAATCCAAAGTGCATAAAAGCTAGAATTTGCTTATGATACAACTTGCAGGTAATACACCATAATTCATTGTCAATGCTTTTTTAAAATAACAAAGAAATCAGCAACCTTATATGCATACACTTATACATAAAATAATTGTAACAAACATAAAATAATCTATGTAATTTAGACAAGCCTTATGGCATCTTTTATTCTAAGTAAATTAATAAACCATTATTTTCTTTTCACTTTTGTGCCCGGTCTTGGAGTTCTGCTCTCGAATAATGGAATATCAAGTAACCTTACACTTGTTTGATTTGCAGATACTGTTCTCTGTCATGGTTTAAAACCAGTCAGGCAGCTTGTTCACTTACTCCCTCCCTTCTTGGCTTCCCCCACTCCTGGAGGGATAGGAAGGAGAATCAAAAGAATGCAACTCCCAGGTGTTGAGATAAGAACAGTTTAGTAACTGAGGTATAACACAAATCACTACTGCTACCACCAATAATAACAATGATAAAGGAAATAACAAGGGAAAAGAATATATCACCTCAGCACCAGCTGACTGATAACTCGCCCCCCCATCCCAACCAAGCACTGACTGATACCTCCTCCAACCCTGCAGTGTACCAGCCCTTCCGGGTAACTCTCAGTTACATCCTGGGCATGACGTGCTGTGGTATGGAATACCTCTTTGGTCAGTTTGGGTCAGGTGTCCTGTCTCTGCTTCCTCCTGGCTTTCCCTCCTCCCTGGCAGAGCATGAGTCTCAGAAAGTCCTTGGTCAGACTAAAACATCGGTGTTATCAGCTCTGTTCCCAGGCCAAAAGTCAAAACACAGTGCTGCACCAGCTATTAAGAAGGAGAAAAAATGACTGCTACTGCTAAACCCAGGGCAGTTCTCTGATAAAATAACATGAGGAACTGGGGTATTTTGTGTGTATGAGTAAAAAGCATCCAAAGTGTTGATAAGTCTGTGTAAAACAAAATCTTATATGTCCAAATTATCCAAACTGTTACGAAGGGATTTTAGCTGATTTGCTAGAGGCCTTATAGTTAATGATCTCTAAAAACTACTTACCTACATTGAAAATAAACAGCTGTATCAGGAAAGGGATATCTGATGTGACTTGACAGTTTTTGTCTGTGTCTAATTTCTGTCCTTTAGTTACTGTGCTTTATTAAATCCAGTTGTGTGAAATGTCTTGAATTGTCATGAATTTTGTTACAAATTATTTTTTTGCCAATGTAAATGAGAGACTAATGCTTGTTAGCCTGTGTCACGTAGTCTTGCATAGGTGTCATGCCCATTACCTTTTACAGCTTTGCCAATTCATTTGAATTCTAATTAATGCTTTCGCAATGCTTTTGGGAAGTATTGTGCAAGAGGAAAAACCTTGAATTGATTACATTGGTGAGTAGGTAAGAATAAGATGTAGGTAGGAATTAGACATCTTAGGTGCAGGATGCAACCCAGAAAGTTTACATAGTGGTACATGCTTAATTTCTGAGAGGTCTAAACCTCAGTAGACACCTTTTCTTAAACCTTGTTGTACCTACTGGGGCTTAAACATAGACACGTGAAGTATTTTGATGTGGGGTACTAGGTGAATTGCTTTTCACATTTTCTCAATTAATACATATATTAAGAAAATGTTTAAATTTTGCCTGGGGTCCCAAGTGGCCTACTTGCCCCGAATTAAGCACTTTTTTGACTGTGCTAAGTCCTCATAAGGTACAGTATACCCAAGTTCCATTTGACTATTCAGGGAAGGTACTTCAGCTGAACTTACTGGTTTAATTTTATTGCTATATGAAGTCAGATATATAGGTCTTCAGATCGCAAGCTCATATATAGCCCATGAAGAGCTGAATCTTGTGAGGGGCATGAAGGTCAACAAGAAAGGCTTCTGCAAGTACAAAATGAAAATTAGGGATATGTGGACCTGATGCTGAATGTGACTAGGGATGCAGTGATACAGAACATGCAGAGATACTCAATGCCTTCTTCACCTTGGTCTTTATGGGTAAGATTGTCTTTCAGGAATCCCAAATCCCTGTGACCAGTGGAAAAGTCCAGAGCAAGGAAGACTTAGCCTTTGTGGGTATGAGGCTAGGGAACATTTAAACAAAGTGGACATGCATAAATCCATGCGACATAACGGAATACACCTGCAAGTGTTGAGGAACTAGTCAACATTACTGTGAGGCCACTCTCAATTACCTTTGAAAGGTCATAGCAATTGATAGAGATTCCTGAAGAAAGAAAGAAAGTAAATGTCACTCTTATCTTTCAGAATGGCAAGAAGTAGGATGTGGGAAACTGTAGGAAGGTCAGCCTATTAACTCATGAAGGGTGAAGGTGATTTAGAGTAGTTTGCATGAGTTTGTGAAGGAAAAATCTTGCTTAATGAACCTGATAACCAACCTTCCTTCCTTCCTTCCTTCCTTCCTTCCTTCCTTCCTTCCTTCCTTCCTTCCTTCCTTCCTTCCTGCCTTCCTTCCTTCCTTCCTTCCTGCCTTCCTTCCTGCCTTCCTTCCTGCCTTCCTTCCTGCCTTCCTTCCCTCCCTCCCTCCCTCCCTCCCTCCCTCCCTCCCTCCCTCCCTCCCTCCCTCCCTCCCTTTAATTCTACATGGTTCTGGGCAACCTGCTCCAGCTGACCCAGATTTGAGCAGGGGTTGGCCTAGATGGTCTCCAGAGATCCCTTCCAAACTCAACCATTTGATGATTCTGTGATGTAGGATAGGTAATACTTGCAGTTAAAGCAGTCATGACAGATTAATTACATATTGCACAGTTAACAAAATATGAAAAAAATAACAAGATATTTGATTTTTTTCTTTTGTTATTCAGTCAACTAAGTTTGTAAATATAAGTATACTTCCATTCTCTGCTGTAGTTTAAGTGGGACCCTTAGTAAGTCTGGCTTTTCTTATGTTTCTTATTGTGGCTTCATTGCAATTCATTTTAAGCCCTTGGAAAGCTTCAGAGAGCATGGAGCCAATTTACAGTTGCCATTTGCATTGATCGAAAATGCCATGCTGCATATGCTGAATGAGTTTCAGTCTGTCTTCAAAGGGGTGAAACTTTTACTGCATTTCAAGATACAGGTACTGCAGTAAAGGTAGATGTTAGCTTAAATCAACCTGTTGCTGTGAAGCCAGCCAATACTGTACATTAATAGTTGCCAATTTGGATTAGAAGGTGCAATTATTATCTTTTTTTAAAAGTAAATTTATTTTTGAAAGCCAGAATAAATTACTATAGAAGTGTAAATTTTCCCTGACTAAAAGCTCATCTACATTTCCCTTTCAGCTCACTACCACTGCTTCACTGCTAACAAATAGGGGTGTCATCAAACAGTTAATGGGATATCTGCCCTGTGCCGTGAAGGACTATCAACAAGCAATTTCTGCTGACCCAAACTATGCATTAGCCTATTTCAATGCAGCAAATATCTACTTCAATAATCAACATTTTTCACAAGTATGTCTACAGTCTGTCTTTATACTGTCTTCAGAATTTTTTTTTCTTAAATAAATACTGATGGTACGAAGCTGTCTTTAAGTATAATTAATATGAAGCTTTCTTACTTACAATTTCATAGTTCTCATGAATTAAATTGAAGTAACTAATAATAAAAAATTATCCTAGTACTATGTATTTTATCATTGGCATGAATGAACTGAGATTCATGACAGACATGATACACGTCACAAAAGTTTGTAAATAATTGGGATACCAAAATCCCACTGATGTTCAGTAACTTCCCACCAGCCTAACTCCCATACATTAAATAATTTGTCCAGGTTTACTATAGCATCATGACAAGGAGAATGAAAAGAATCTCCTGCTGATGAACTGGAATCAAGAAGTCAGATTTTCCTCCTATTATCACAGTAACTTGTGAGTTTTAAATCACCTAGTTTTACTTAATTATGGTGGGTATCTTCAGATAGAGAAGATACTGAAATTCCTCTTGTGAGAGAATTTGAAATCTGCTTGAAGACAAGGACCATTTATTTTAATCCATGTAGGGAAGCCCCTGCAATGATTTCTTCTTTTGTCTTCTAGTCACATTTCCTGGGCATAGGCTCAGGCTTTTATTTGATTAGAGCTTTGCAGTCCAGCACCTGTGGAAACCCAGAACCAGTATGAATGTTTCAGCACATTTCGTCTGGTGGAATTAATTTTCTCCTAAAGTTGCACCTGTAAACACTTCAGCTTGCAGTTCATTTATTAAGGAATCCATCACATATAGTACAGGATTGGCATACAATTTTAAATCTAGCTTCTACTTCATACAGCACCAGAAATAGATCATGTAAGAAAATATTTAATACTCATACATGTTTCTCTGTTAATTTTTTTGTTGCTCTTATGCATTTGTTAGACCAGAAATTCCTTAGGAATGCATGGTCAGTGCCTTACATATGGCTTCTTCTGTGATCTCTTATCCACCTGGTATCATTCTTCCATGACCGGCCTTGCATAGGCTGTTCTTCCTCTTTACTATGTTTCTGTGACTCCTTATAGTCCCACAGAGGCTGTCTAATAGTGGGGAAATTTGCTGTTGCATTATAAACATGTTAATTCAAATTGGCCTTAGTGTATAGCTTATTTATTCCTGCTATAAGTACACTTTAGGATAAACAGCAGAAAGGAAGGAATAACCCCACAAGGGATTACTGAAAAAAATCCCAAGTGATGCACAGAACAGTTGTTCACCACCTGCTGACCAACCCTTCCCTGAGCAGTGATTGGCCCTTCTGACCAACTCCCCGCAGTTTATATACTGAGCATCATCTTCTGTGGTATGGAATAGCCCTTTGGCAAAGTCGGGTCAGCTGCCCTGACTGTGCTCCCTCCTGGCTTTTTGTGCCCCTCCTCACTGGCAGAGCATGAGACTGAAAAAGTCCTTGATCAGGGTAAGCACTACTTAGCTACAAATAAAACATTGGTGTGTTATTGTTATTCGCAGACTAAAGCCAAAACACAGCACTGCACCAGCTGTTGCAAGAAAATTAACTCTAGCCCAGCCAAAACTAGGATGACAAGTTGTACAGAAATCATTTCCTCAATTTTTAACAGCATACTTTATCTCCAATTCATGTGTTTTGCAGGCTTATTGCTATTATTCCAAGGTATTAGAACTTGACCCAAGAAATGAATCTGCTGCTATAAATCGTGCTATTACAAATACATTGTTGAACAATACTGAAGAAGCAAAAGACGACTTTGAGAAAGCAATTTGTCTCTGCCATTCTCTGCAGCAGTGTATTTTAACAGGGCAAATTTCTATAATGGATTGAAGCAATATGTACCAGCTGGGAAAGACATTTCAACAGGTAAATCTGTCATGATTATGTTTGGTATCATACTAACAATTATGATAATAAATTATTTGGCTCTCTTTTATGACTCAGAAAGTATATGTGTATTTTTGCTTGTATATTCTCCACCTAATTTGATCAGATATTATGATGTGATTAAAAAGAGAAAGTTAAAGTAAACATACTAATTGTGTTTTTTTTTTTTTTCCCATTTTCAAAATAGAAAGAATATGTGAATTAGGCAATAAACTATTTCATACAATGTGTGTCATTAGCAGTTAAACAAAACCCTATTCTGAATGAAATTTTGGCAAGAAGCTACGGGAAAATACTAGAGTTACCGAGTCTGAAAACTTTTTGTCAGTTTTTGTGTGTATGTGTTAAGATCTCTAGGTGCTTAGAAACTGGAATCGAAGTAGCTTATTTTATATATAAACATGAAATATAATGAATGTGCTCTTCGTAGAACGAGTTTTGAAACAGTATTTGGCTTCCATAAGCTTTTCTGCTGAGAATACAGAAATGGTTCATAGAGAAGAGGAACTGAATCAGACTTTCATCTTGAAATTAGTAAAACCCAAACTTTTTGTTCATGTTTGAAACAGCTAAGCTGTATTTCTCTATTGCTTCTTGGATACACAGGCAAACTTCTTCCAGTAACTAAAGCTATGTTTAGTTTGTATTGATTTTGTTGAAACAAAATTTTGTAATATGACCTTGGTTTGACAGCACTTGATTAAACAGGTAATTGATTTAAAAAAAAAAATTCTCTCTAAAGCAGAATTTTAAAACAGCAGAGTAATCTTTCCATCAAGTGAAGAAACCCTTTCTATACAGTGGAGAAACTCAATAAGATACTGGGTTCATTGCCATGTTCCAGATGAATGGTGGTAGTTTTCTTCTCTTGCTTGAGTTTCAGAGGAAAGCATAGTTTCTGCTGTCAGGGCAAAATTAAAGTGAGAGTCATAAATGGCATCAGAAAGAGGAAAAAAATCCAAGTATAAATAATATAACAACGTTGCCTACATCTTGATGTAGTTAATGCATGTAATATGTTTTCTCTTCTGAAAGCCTGACTGGAGAAGAATTTGGACAATGACAAAAGTTTTTGGATGTTGTTTATAGTTACATGATAATGTTGTGTGTTTTTTTGTTTTTTTCTGTTTTTTTTTTTGTATTTTTTTTGTGGTTTTGAAGAGGCCTAACATTCTACTTATTTTTACAGCCTTGTCTATTCAGCCTAATGATGCTTTGATGTATAAATTTAGAGCTGGTATTTGTAGTAAATTGGGTTTCACTAAAGAGGCTATAGAAGACTACAAACAAGCAATCATCATTCAAGAACAGATTGATTCCATGTGAAAAACACCAGTTTTCATGCCACTTGGGTTCTATTTACATATTTCTCAGATCTCTAATTAAAAAAAATCCAACATGCAAGAAACATATCTTTATTTTCAGATATTCTATGCAGATTTTGTATTTATAAATAATATAATTACCTTGATTGTGCAAAACTAGCAAGAGTTATTTAAGAATAGAATGTCACATTTAATTTTTATGAGGTAGATGGTTCTTTATTTGTTAGTGTCAAGAGATAATTGGATACATACAAAAATGAAAGAGAGAAAATAGGGAAAAGACCTCAAGAGTACTACTTATAGAAAGATAAGAGACTACACTCCCACTTCTCTCCCAAATATAAATGCTTGCAGTGGTGCTGATTATATGTCACCTGGACCATTTGTGAAAAATTCTAAGAGCTACCAAATGTTCATGATTGCTGACTAGGTCTCACTTTCTTCCTGATCTTCCATCCATACCTTTTCATGAAATTTCCTGTTCCCTGTCATTCACATGGTAGGGGAAAGCTATTGTGCAAGGTCCATTCGCTGCAGTGCATGAGAACTACTCTGAGAACTGAAATTTGAGAAAGACATGATTCAGTTTGTGAGTAAAAGACTGAGGTTACTTGCTGCCACTTAAATATATTACAATGTGCCATCTTGAAGAGAGAGGTAAAAATGTACAAGTAACAGATCATAGTTTTTGTGTTCTAAGTTGTAAGGATGGGTTTAAGAGCAGGCTCTTGCCTAAACACAGAGATTGAAATGTGACCAAAATTTAAAAATTGCCAAGCCCTACTCATGTACTCCCAAGTTTGGCATAGCATGGTGGAGATAGCAAAAGGTTGAAGCAAAATAGATGTCTTTGTCTGAGGAAAGAGGAGAGAAGGAGGAATGTTAAGGTCTTTTTCAGCATGGAAGGCAGTCCTGTAGTTATAGACATCAGAGAGATTTCTAAAGGCAGAAAGGGCACATCAAGGCATAATCCCAGCAGCACAGGAATTGTATGTGTGATTTTAGTTTAGGTTTAGATGGAAATTGTTATAAATTTTCGTCTTGAAAAAGAGCAAAAAAAAAAAAGGTGAGAGACTTTCACAAAACCATAGGCTTTGCACACACTGATATGTGCCTGTGATTGCATAGTGTTCTGTATGTACAGTAATCCCCAGATAGTAGAGAACAATCTAGAATAAAATCAAAATTACATAATCTAATTTATATAAAATCAGTATTAAAGATTTACATTGGTCTATTTAACTATGTACTTTTTTGGTAGTCTTAGAGTGCTATTGAGAGGAAAGCAAAAAATGTCATACCTTTGTCTCAAATAATTGTATTTTATTTTCTCTGGGTACTCAACACATTGCTATATGCTCTTTGTGAAAAAATATCTGTTCTTGCATAGCTATGCAGTGTCTCTTTAGCCAATATGATAGATGGTAACTGGAATTCTAGCTTTGTTCTGGTATCTAAATTTTTGCATTTGTAATATCACATTACATTGTGGAAATTCCTATGCTTATCAGCTCAGAATATTTGGGTTGAAAAAAGCAGTACTGTGGAAAGGAAATTCCAAGTATCACAGCTAAGAACAGTTAGCTCAGTAAAGCATTTGACACCATCCCTACTTTCCTTGACTATCCTCTTACCTTGTTTAATATCTAGCATGTTGAGACTTTACACTTTCAAGATCTGTGGTGATAAGATTGACTGGAATAGATGCATCATAGTTAACACATATAAAAGATACAAGAAATTTTTAAAAATCTACATTTAATTTTTCTTATTCATGATTAGTGTCTGTTTAAAATGAGTGTTTATAGATATAAACAATGCATTGAAGTCTTTCTAGACATTGTAGTATGTTGCATATTAATATTTCTTTCTAGTATTATAAATTAGAGTGTTACTTACTGGAAACCTATTTGGAAAGACAGTTTTTCTTAAAATTAAATTAAAATCTGTGAGCATGGGATTATCAAAAAACAATTCTGCTTTTCTGTTCTCCAGTACGTTGAAACATTAATTGCTGGAAATAGCTTTTAGAGGTATTAGTTTTACCACATTACAAGAACAAGAATCTAGTTGACTTCCACTTCACAATAGGAAGAAATTCTTTGTGACTTACAAAATTCAAGAATCAGAATAGTTATGTCAGGTCTGATTAGGCCATTGTTAACTACATGTTTCTGTAAAGAGTTTACTTTTTTGCCTTGACTGTTATGTTACTAAAACTTAGTTTGTGAAGACCAAGATGATTGAATAAGTATTTACTGCTTTTTCCCTCTTGTTCTATTTTCTTACTTATTTATCTTATTTTTGTAGTATTATTGCCTCCCCAGATGGATCAAGTGTAATGTACAAAATATAAATATACGTGTGTCTGTATTTCCATGCATGATTATCATGGCTGTTGATGCAAATTGGGGAATTATTTACCTCAATTTCCTCTATGCACACAAAGTCGAAGTTTGCTTGCAAGATGGTGCTGGTAGTATTTTTGTTCTCTTTCTCCTTTTCTTCTGCCTCTGCCAGTGCTCCTTTTTATTATCTGAAAAATTGTTTATTGATGAAATTGCTAAATTATGCATGATTCTATGGCCTTTTCCTCTCTTTGACCTCCTTATGAATTACCTGCTGATGGGTTGTGAGATAGTGGTACCCTCATCATGTACAGTGAATCATCAAACTTAAATCAGAATGAGGAGAGGTCAAACCTTTCCTCTGGATCCTTTTGTTTTGATATTCACTGTAGATTTTCTTTAGTTTATTCGCTCTTGAGCATCAAACAGAAATAGACACATAAAAGAATTTTATCTTTACATTTAAAACCAGAAAGTACATTTAATCAGTTATGACTCACTACTGATAGAGTGACAATTTAAATAATATGGGCTATTTTAATCTCTTCTGCTTGTAGGTTTTTTTTTGTTGTTGTTGTGGGTAGTGTAGATCTAATTTTTTAATCCTTAAAAAATGACTATTTAATAATTCTATGGTTGACTGTGTGGAGTTAATTTTTTAGAGCTTTTCATCTATTACACAGTGCTTAGGAAATGGCTATTGTTCCATTGTATTTCCATCATTTTGCATCACTCTCATTCACAATTTGGAGACCATGTTAGATGCTTTTTAAAGAAAATAGAAAGTGATTGAGAATTTATTTGCACAACAGAACACATGGCCTGGGTTCAGCAGTAGCAGTTTCAAGCTACCTGAAAATTTCAAGCTACATAATCAAAACTTATTGCATTCTTTGAAAAATAATAATCTACTTTTCATCTTCAGGTCTTTCTTTTAAATTTAATTTCTGTCCTAAGACAAATTTTATATTTTCTAAAGGTTTTTAAATGTAATTGGAAATGTTTTGTATGATAGTACTTTTCATGTCCTTTTTTTTTAAAAAAAGTTAAATTAATAAAGTGATTAATGACTCTAAGAATCATTGTTCCACTAATAAATTGCAATTGTGTTTTGCAGCCTGAACAGTAGTATGTGAACTGCCCTGTTGGTAGCGACTAAGGTAGTTTTGTGGCATTCTGAATCTTGACCAACCCAGTATAGGACAGGTGTTAACCTCTCAGGTTACTTCCATTGCTGGTAATACATCAAGAAAATTTTTGTACTGGGGATTATGAAAGTGATTTTGCTTCACAAATGCAGTTTAAGAGAAGCTCTTTTCCCTTGCTGTGGGATGATATTCTTTTTGGATTTAAAATCTGATAATCTGAACTTCATTTTTTGTGCATTTATTTCCTTTCATTCTATTTTTCTAAAAAATCCTTTTGATAGACTGTAGTTAAACAAACAGATACACTAAGGAACCTTAGTTGCCTTCATATTTTTTCTCCCTTTTTAAAATACTGAAAATACATGCATTACTGGTAAACAGGTAATACTGTTTGATTAATAGAGAATGCAGTAGAAAACTTTGTATTAAAAAAAAACCCAAATATTTCAATTTGAAGCCCAGTAAGGGAATAGGAAGTTCTGACTAATCTTTCACAGAATGGTAAATTACATACATACATCTATCAATCAACTGAATGTTAGAGCCTTTTCTTTCAATATTTTATAATTCTGTATTTTTTATTTTTTTTTATGATTTGGGCATAATTTTGGGCTTTTTAGATGGGATGCCCCACCACCAAAGTAATGATGAAACAGACCTTTCCTACCTGCACTGAAAACTAAAGCAAAGTAGTAGTTTTTGAGAGTGGGAAATCAGTTTATTTGTAAGTTTGGGGAAGTCGTTTTAGTTTTTGCAGTTGTTTTTCAGCGGACCATTCCCTAAAATTATTGATCAGGCCTTAGTTTTTATTAGACTAAGTCTAATCTCTAAGTGAGAAAAAACATTTTCATAGTAGTAGTATATCTCTAGTTTAATGATCTAGGCTGAGAGAGAATGTGCCAATCAGTGGTAAAGAGTGGGTAGCCCATGAGAGAAAAATAAAGGGCTTAAATTTTGCAGATTATTTCACAAATTGTAAGTGGCAAATGTAATTGATTTTCCCATGTCTTCAAGATCTCCACCTTTGTAAAGTAAGTAGACAAAATTTGCTTTAAGAGAATCTTTTAAAATCACTGCTGAAAAATATTTATGTTCACCTTGGAGTTAGCATGAACAAGATGTACGTAGCTGTAGCCTACAGAGAAGGATGATAATAAGATGGACATTGAAGCGAAAAACCAAAACTTCTGTGACAGTAAGTAAAAAAGAACAAATGCAAATGAAAAAGTTGTGTTCTTAGCTGATTTACAGTGTCACCCACTCTTCTGAGTTTCAGACAGTTTGGGTGTATGGGTGGGGCTGTTTTTAATTGAGAAGCAGGGCTTTGGGACAGGATACATGACAAAAAGTACAAGTCCTTTCCAACTGGCCATGTATATTAGAAATACAGAACATAAATTTGTAGCTGATGCCGAAGACTGTATGCCTGAGACTGGCAATATTGCTGGACAAGATTGCCATAACAGTAAAAGTGAAATACGCGTGAAAGTGAACCAAACTCTACTCTGCTGTAGCAGAAAACAAGCCCTGCAGGAAAGATGCTACTCTTTAAAAAAAAAGCAAGCGCAGGTGTTTTAAAAGATAATTTGGGAAACCTCTTTGTCAAAATGTAATGAATGCAAGAGGTATATCACTGTATCTGAGCATATAGTGTTTTCAGTTTGCTTTTCTTGGGCCTCAAAGAATGCAGTAAATTATAATGCATTGCTGGCTTTGTTTGTGTAAGTTGGGGAAGACTGTCAACTATATTGTATAGAGAAGGATAATCTTATAGCTGCTACTATGGGATTCTTTCTCACTAGACAGTAATTTTAGAGGAGAGCAATCCAGTTCTAGTCTTGCCTTTCCTTTGCCTTGCCTTTCTTGCATATGAAAGTGAATTTTCTTTTGGACCGATTATGGAGATAAATCAAATCTCAATTTCTCTACTATTCTTAACACTTTTTCCCTAAGAAACAATCCTCAAAAGCTTGGTTTTTTTTTTGAAAGACTGTGCCAAATGATAGTAGATTAGTTGTTTTCAACAAGTTTCAATTTGTTTTAATTTGTTTTTAATTTGTTTTAACAAATGCAGTATATCCTAATGGAAGGAAATAAGAAAACTGTGGGTAATGTGCTTCTAATTTCAATGAGAAATATGCCGATTTTTTCATATTATTTGTTTGCTATACCTGCACTATATTTTATAAGGCTGTGCCAAAACCAGGTTCCAGCTCAACCTTAAGCCTGCCTGAACTTTGCATGAACACACTGTGAGAAGTAGGATGCAGGACTGATATAGTGCCTGCAGAGAGCGATATAAATATTACTGAGCAAAGGCTGCCTATGACTCAACACAAAAGGTGTTTCGTACTACGGGACGCTCTAAGTGTCTTCTTTCTGTCACACTGTGTACCATTGCCATAAGGGCAGATGGGGCACCAGATAATCTAGGTTGATATGATGAGAACTTTGAGCCATGGTATAGCTGGCCCATCTACTACACTTAAGGTAAGAGCACCCCTGGGTAGAAAGAATACTAGCTCAAGTCTCCT